TATTATGAACTTCATCGTTTACACAATAGGGTAGTTTCCTAAATTTTATTTTAATGTCCGTCTGATACATTAATTTAAAACTTTAGACACGTATTTTTTCTTTTCTCACTAAATTAAATACTTTCGACGATATATTACATTTGAAATATCGTGTGACGTCACAGCGTGTCACATTTTGTAGCACGTTATGACGTAACGACCTCCCACTCCTAAACTTAGCGCCATTTTATCTAAGTATTGCAACTTAATACGAGAAAATAAAAAAATACGTGTCTAATATTTATCATTATCTAACTGACGGACTAATTAGATTTTTAATTTTGATACCCTGGACACAACCCAATTCAATCGATATATTAATATGATATTCAGTTTAACTACACTCTTAGTTAGCTGGCCATATAATTCTTCGCGGACTACGCTGCATTATTAGTGTTCAGTGTTCTCGAGTAAACGTCTTGTTCAACTTCAAATATCAAAAGTCCACCACCTTCCCAAACAATATCGAGTATAGTTTTAAGTCGCGTCAAAAGACTGTTTATTCCTGCACGGACAAATTTATTAGTGCGATCCACAAATTGTTGTTTCGGATCTATCTGAGTGTGTGGTGTATGTGAAATGGTATGTTTATAATTATAAACGCACCCACAACCCAGGAGAAAATGCTACATAAACATAACAACAAAAACATAACATCACGCCTTTTATCCCCGAAGGGGTAGGCAGAGGTGCACATTAAACCACTGTATAATGTAACACCCACTTTTCACTATTTATGTTATGAGTCCCATGTAATGGGGGGTGAGCCTATTGCCATATACCGGGCACAATTCCAGACTTCGTGCTACTACTGAGAATATTTAAAAACCCAGTAATACTTTGCCCGACCCGGGAATCGAACCTGAGACCCCTTGCCCGGCAGTCGCACTTACGTACGACCACTCGGCCAACGAGGCAGTCAGTAGAGAAAATCCAAGTGTGGGGCAAATTTAAAAACAAGAGCGTTACGCATGATTCTTCATGACACTTATTGCGCCCTGGTTAAGCTTGAAACTTATCGAGTTACCTTGTAAAAACAGTTACATAAGTAAGCCGTAGAACATAATTAATTTAATATCTTATTAGGTATTATTTATTAGAACAAAGTTTTATATCAGTCACTATCGCATTAGCGATTATACGTAGAAGAATATTACATAATATATGAATAAATATGTATGTATTAATTAGGCGAGGACATTTTAAAGGGAATTGCGGCATTTGTGGCTGATGTATATACACTCTGTATTTTATTCTTTTTATAATTATTTGAAATGTATAACGCCTTGGTTTTATGACTGTAATGTTATACTATTTAATTGAAATAAATAAATAAGTAAATTATGTTAAGTAAAAACGCGGGTTACTCACGTGAATATACTGAGAAAAGCTCTACTAGTTTCGAACCACAGATGGGTTCTTCCTCATGAGCAGCGTGCGCGGTCGTGGCGACGTCGCGACGTGTCGCGCAGCTCACTGGCTATATTCACGTGAGTAACCCGCGTTTTTACTTAATTTAGTATGTCTCACGATAGTTATTATAAAAACATAGTAAATTATGTATTTAACATCCACTGTTTCTGAAGTACCTACTTTATTTTTATGACATAATTCATTATGATATAAATACATGAAATTAGGTACTTGCCTACGAGTCAAATTCAATACTTTTTTCGTACTGTCAAAAAGAACAGATTTCTATGAATTTTGTACGAGATTGTGTATTGTGACGTCACGTTATTCAGCATCAAACATCATACTTATTTATTAAAAATTTGCTAGAAAAATACTAAAATTAAATTGGTCATAAAATCTATTAATGAAAGTGTTATTTTTTTATATATTTTATTGTATGTATTGAACAGTCGAAATAATTTATTTTTGTCTAAGGAAAGTACCCAATTAAGTATAGCTATGTTTATAAAAAACTTTTAGCTTTAAACTGTCAAACACCAAGCGGTCACCGGTGACCGCAACCTATTGTTCTATAATTGTGTCTACAAAACCGGTACTCGACGAGTTAATCAATATATCAATATACGGTAAGAATATACGGTGTTTAGAAATAACTCTATAAAAAGTGAACTTATTTCCAAACACCATATTCAAGATTGCATGATAGTTGTTCAAAAAATATGACATCAGATTCGAAGCTGTTACTTATAGCCGAGACATAATTTGTCCTGCTATATGCTAAATTATTGTCGGAATACTGAAACGCTACTCAATTTTAAGTCGAGCTTAAGTATAGCTCTATCTCTACAATTTTTTTATAAAATGACAGAGATGGCACGATATTTGAGCACGACTTAAAATTGAGTAGCGTTTCAGTATTCGCCATATATCACTTTTTTACTCTTTAAAATGTCCTCCACATAAAATAAATTTGATCTTACTTTTTTTTAATTTAAGATTTACAACAAACTATAATCAATTGAAATAATTAATTTTAGCGATCCACAACATAAATAGAATAAAATACTTGAGATAACAATAAAATATTCAGCCAAATCGAGTTCTTGAGTTATGAATAGTATAACAAACACGACTTTCTTTGAACATATTTATTACTAGCTATTACCCGCGGCTTCGCTCGCGTCACAAAAGGATAAAAAGTAGCCTATGTGACATAATAATATACCAATACACACAGCGCCATTTATACCAATAATTTCGTTTTCCCTCGAGAATATCAAATTTTTCCGGGATAAAAAGTACCCTATTAATTAATCCAGACTTCTAACTTTACGTCTGCAAAAATTCAAAGCAATCGGTTTAGTAGTTACGGCGTGAAAGCGGAAAAAACAAACAAACAAACTCACTTTCCGCTTTATAATATTAGTAAGGATACATATAGATTTATCGATCCATGGTAAGCATATAACAATCACAAAAATATATAAAAGACATACAGCGCAATATAATTTCAATTTTTTTTTAAATCAAACTTATATACTGATTACTATGCTATTACTGACCGAGCGCATTACTCTCTATATTATCTGTGGTGTAGAGATCTTTAGTTTATGGTCTACAATTCTACATGGCCAACAGCTGCCCTTTTGTTTTAGTACAGAGATATTCAAATGAAAATAAAATCTGCGCTATGTAGATGGCGCCTCTGTAGTTTAAGATCCTGTCAGCGTAATAAATGATATTAAAAATCTCAACTAGTAATTTATTATGAACGCGAAAGTAATTTTTACTAACCTTTGGGAGTACAGACAAGGAAATATTACTAGTCTTCTTCTTATATTATAAATGTGAAAGATTGTTGTTATTCAATTACGTCAGAACGGGTGAAGGGATCGGGATGATTGATAGATGATTTGGAAGACATGTAGACTATGGTCTCTAGTAATACATAGTCTGCTTTTTATTCCAGCGGTATGTTGGCGCGGGGCGACATCGCTGGCAGAAGCTCATAGGCTAATAAAATTATACCATAACTAGCTACTTCCGCGCGGTTTCACACGCTCTGCTCAGCTCCTATTGGTCGTAGCGTGATGTTTTATAGCCTATAGCCATCCTCGATAAATGCGCTATTCAACACAAAAATAATTATTCAAATCAGACTTGTAGTTACGAAGATTAGCGCGTTCAAACAAACAAACACTTCCGCTTTATATTATAGATTAATTTTATTATTGGTTTAGAGACCATAATCGCTTACAGCGCCCTGTAGCTACGAATTCAAGAGCTATAATTACTGAATACCTCTGTACTAAAACAATCTTAAAGTAATGTTTTGTTGATATACTGACGGCTTTATACGAGTTTCTTTTACGTATAACGACATCGAAACGAGACATTGTTCGGAGCTCTGATTGGCCTGCTGCAATAAACCAACGTATCAGAGGCCTTAGTACGAGTTAGATTTACGTTTAAAGTATTCGAAACGAGTACGCGTTTGGCAATCTGATTGGCCGGCGCCAATGAAGCAACCAATCAGAGCGTCGATCGCGTACTCGTTACGATTACTTTAAACGTAAAACAAACTCGTACTAAGGCCTCTGAGCTCAGAACGCGTACTTCTTAAACGTAAACAAACTCGTACTTAGCCATCTGAACACCCAAATCATTACTTCAAAAGTCTCCCTTCGAAATACAATAATAAATAACATAATAAATACATTCATTAAACTACATATTACAATTAAATCATACACCGCGAAATCTATTTCGTTGTCGTCCCGCGGCAAAACAACTTGCCATAAGGAGTACTCTCCATGTATAAAGTAAAAACACAAAGACAATAAGGTAGATGCCTAATTTTTATTTTAATGTCCGTCTGGTAGATTATTTTAAATCATTAGACATGTATTTTTATTTTCTTACAGAAACGAATACTTTCGACGATATATTGATTTGAAATGTCGCGTGACGCCACTTCTATGCACATTTTATACGTAGAAATGACGATTTAGCCCCCACTCCTAAACTTTGATTCGTTTTATCTAAGTATTGTTTTATTATACGACAAAATAAAAACATACATGTCTAATATTTTTTCATTGCCAAACTTACGGACTAATTATATTTTTAATTTTCATACCCTGTCATCATCCCTATTTATATTAAAAGTTTCGTTAGACGTCCTAATTAATTATTATGTTTTCGACTTATTCACGTAACTGTTTGACGAGGAACTTGACTAGTTTCAAGCCATGTTAGAGGCTCATATTCATGAGCAGCATCATCATCATTAAACTAGTCGAGTTCGTCGTCAAGCAGTTACGTGAGTGAGCCAAAAACATTAATTAATGATGTCAATTTTTTTTTACACACATGAAACACTAGACGTAAATTTGTAGGCACTACTCGCATCGCACGTGCCACCCGACGAGAAATACCTCTTCAAGATTACATGGCGTGATGTTTTGATGAATGTACTATGAGTTCGTATGCGCTTTCGAAGTTTGCGTTTTGCAATGGTTCACCAGTTATGTTTTGTTTTAAACATTTTATTTCCTTGTATTACCAAGACAAAACTATTTTACTTCGGAACGAAAACGAAATAGATTTCACGGTGTTTATTTTGTGCTTATTTAATCGCGGTACAGTTGCTAGCAACATGTTACAAGCATTCGTTATGTTATTTTCTTAGTTACGGATATAAAATAATTAAAGAAGTCACTAGACATATTTTAAGAAGTCTGTAGGCATATTTTAAGAATTCTTTAGTTATGTAGGTGTAAACATATTATTGACAAATTAGCCTATACAAACACAATCTATAAATCATAAGTGATCATAATAAGAGGGTAGAACCAGTAACTAAATGTCTAACGACTTCGGAAATATGACTTCAGACTTCTACTAAATGTTTAGTTATTTTGGTGTAGGTATAAACATATTATTGACAAATTAGCCTATACAAACATAATCTATAAATCATAAGTGATAATAATAAGAGGGTAAAACATGTAACTAAATGTCTAACGACTTCTAAAATATGACTTCAGACTTCTACAAAATGTTTAATGTTATAGATCAAGTGACTTACAGGACATTATACTAAATCATACTATTAATTCAATGAAATAAATAATATGTAAGAATAACCTTTATATTTCACCTTTATCATTCAGTGTAATCCAATATTTTAAAAACAAGGCAATAATAACCGGAAAGGAACTATCAATTCATACATTTCTTCGAGATATACTTATTAAAGGTTAAATAAATGTATGAAAACTGACAATTTCTTTCATGATTTCAATATTTATCTTACACTACCATATAGGCTTCGATTTCAGTTAGCTCCGCAACGTTGTTTACCAACGAAACTTATAATTAAGAACTCCGTTTTAGCTCGAAACTAGTCGAGCGATACTCGAAAATATTAAATTACGTTCTTTAACGTTAAAAATTTAGTATAATGTCCTTTAAATCACTTAGTTCATAATCGACATGTTAAATATGGTAAAAATAGAAGCGGCTACATACAATAAGGTTTGCGACACACGAAGAACACCGAGTCGTATTCATGTTGCATCATGGAGTTGGGATTCTGGGCGTATTTCGTTTTAACACCTGTTTGTTCTTTCTGTTAACAATTAAAATAATAATTATTGTATAAGCACATACACATGCACATAAGTGCGGGAGAGCCATGCTTCGGCACGAATTGGCCGGCTCGACCGGAGTGATACCACGGCCGAGCAGAAAACCGAAGTGAAGCAATGCTTGCATTGTGTTTCGTCGTGTAAGTGAGGATACCGGAGGCCTAATTACCCTCCCCTTCCCCAATCTGCCAAATCCCTGAATCCCCAACGATCCTCAAACTCGTAATCCCCAAAAGTCCGGTAACTCTGACTTCTGCACTTCTGACGCCTCTGGTGTTCCAGGTGTCTATGGGCGACGCCGATTGCTAACCATCAGGCGATCCGTCTGCTAGATTCGGTAATCTTATTTTTTTTATGGCATAAGCCGGTGCTTATGCCATAAAAAAAATCATAACACACGCCTTTTAACCCCGAAGGGGGAGGCAGAGGCGCATATTGTGGCACTTAATACCACTGTGCAATATAACACCAAGTTTTCACTACTTCTGTTTATGAGGACACAGTCTCTTGAGAGAACGACTGCGGCACCTGGCTACTATAGACTTACACGCAGAACATACACACATTGACACGAAGGACATCTGTCACTTTCTGAAGTCTCGTAACGTGGTAACCCATTACACACGCACACATAAATAAACCATAGACATTTTGGTGCTTCACTCGTTTCTTAGGACCGAAACACATATCCGCGTTGCGTCGCCGCATCGCTAAAATCGGCAGTTTGCGTTGCGGCGCCGCTACGCAGCGCTCGTTCCAGCATAGCAGAGTAATGTCTTCTTAATAACAAATAAACAATAAGTTTTTCACGATGGTCCATGGCAGAGACACGCCTATCCACAATAAAAAATCACGAAGAACCGGTTACCCTACCGAAGGACAACAAAACGCTCTTTTTCACGACGCCGCAACGCAAACTGCCGATTTTAGCGCTGCGACGACGCAACGCGGTTATGCGTTTCGGCCCAAAGTGACATTACGCACGCTTTTTTTCAATATCCTTAGCATAGAATTAATAAATTAATTTAGTCAAATAGGCATGGCGACTATTTTTTAATTTTTTGTCCGTCTTTTAGATATTTTAAAAATCTTCGATACGTATTTTTTCTTTTTTCTCGTATCCAAAAAAACATGTAGATATTTTGAGTTAAAATGACGCGTGACGTCACACTTAGGTACGATTTCTCCGTAAGTATGACATCAACACCCCCCACTCCCTAACTTTAATGCGGAATAACAACGTATTCTTCTGTTAATTTGATAAAACAAAAAATACGTGTCTGATATTTTCGTGCGATCTTAATGACGGACTAATTACTTTTTTGATTTTTTTACCCTGTCGACACGCCTATTCTAGTTAGCATGAAATAATAATAATAAAGTGTTTATACTCATAGTATTCTACTCACCAATATATCAAATCCTATATCCCTTATAATCTCCAGTAATATGTCGTACGGCGGCTCGATACTGTTCTCCGTCGGCATATCACTGCAAATTATTAAAAAAAACCGCATGTTATGCCGGCTTGTTCAAGTATGGGGTTCTTCAAGAGGGGAGTGAATAGGTTTCTTAGGGGTCGGCAAGACGCATGTAATGCCCTAAGTGTTGCAGGCGTACATAGGCCACGGTAACCGCTTACCATCAGGTGGGCCGTGTGCATTTTTGCCATCGTCGTAGTACAAAAAAAAGTAGGATGAAGGAACACCTAACAAGCACGGCTCCGGTACAGCGCTTTTTGCGTAGTAAATAATACAAAAAAATTGGACATTCGCGAGTTAGTTAGTTTTTTGGTAGGTCAATTAGTTACATGGTTAGTTAGTTGGTAAGTTAGTTTGATTGTTTATTAGTTAGTTAGTTAGTTGGTTGGATAGTTTGTTAAAAAGCTAATTAGTTGATTAGTTCGTTAAATAGTTAGTTAATTGGTTGATTAGTTCGTTACATAGTTAGTTAGTTGGTTGGTTACATAGTTAGTTGGTTAGTTAGTGTTTGTTGGTTAGTTAGTTGGTTAGTTTAGTTTGTGGTAAGTTACGTAGTTTGTTGGTTAGATAGTTAGTTAGTTAGTAAGTTAGTAGGTTAGCTAGTTGGTTAGTTCGTTGGTTAGTGTGTTGGTTACTTGGTGGATTGGTTGGTTGGTTTGATAGTTAGGTAGTTAATTAGTTAGTTCATTTGTTTAATCTGAGGAACCACTGGTCCGATTTGAAAAAAGGCTTAATTTTCGCAGCCAAATCTACATTTATAACATTTTTTTATTTATTTATTAGTATTAGTATATTAAACAACAAACATTTAAAAAAGATAATAGTAAAACAGGCGAACACCGCATTCTTTAAGAAAAAAAATATCATTTAATAGATGCAAAATTAGAATACAAGATGTTGGTTAAAAATCAAATTAAGTTGCATTAATTTACGTGAATAAATTATCAATAGATCAATTAGAGGAAAAGAAAACACTGCTATATAATATGAAACTAAAATGAAATTAAATTAACATCAAAAATGAAAATCAAAATTAAATGAAATTTAAAAGAAATTAACTCGTCGAGTACCGGTTTTGTAGACACAATTATAGAACAATAGGTTGCGGTCACCGGTGACCGCTTGGTGTTTGACAGTTTAAATTATAAATAAATTAAATTTCAAATTGCATCTTACTTTAAAATATTCAAATTGAATAATTTGAAAAGAACATTGGAAAGATAGGAGAAGTATTTTAAAAAACCAGCAGTTGTAGCCAAATGCCATTTGGCGCTTGTCTACATGTGGAATAAAAAACTAAATTATATACGACATAGATGGCGCTGGCCGTCGCGGTAACCTCGAGTCCGTGTTGTTTTATTTACGAAAAATAGTTAAAAACACTTTTACAGTATCAGTACCACGTAAAACTGTGTAATAACCCTTAAAGTTTATGTGACAGTGTTATCCAGTGAAATGTGTGACGGACCTAATCAGGAAATAAAAACAAAAAAAATAGCAAAATAAACAAATAATCCAAAAGAAAATAAGTATATTCTCCATAATAAAGCCCTGTAAACCACAAGTTAACGACGAAGTGAAGTGACAATTTGGCCAGAAAGAGTTTAAATCTCTGGAAAACAATAATTGAGTGCTGTGTGTTCGAGAGCACAAAAAATTTTTTCTCTGCATAATTATAAACATTATTACCTTCTTTCTTAAATTAAAAATCTAACGACGAGACATACGTTTGAAAATTCTGTCACTTTGTGCTATGTTTACATAGCACAACATATTTTGGCTTGACTTTGACGTGAATGAGCATGAGATCAAACCCCAGTGGTCACACATGGTACTTTTTGAATGATTTTCTTCGAAATTGTTTGGCTGTTTGGAACATATTTCTACGATAAGTTTAGTTGAAATATTAAAATTATAATAACTCTATACACAAAAAAAAAAAATGGATAATATCACACTTCGTACAAGAAACTGCAGATCTAACTCTGAAAATGATAGGGAGAATTTATCGGACGACGAGTCAAATAATAACTCTTCAATGAATTGTACCACCAGAAGTTTACTTCTAGAACAACATGAGGATGACTCATCAGAATTACGATCACAAATTCAGGACCTGAAGAGACAGTTAGAATCTGCCCACGAAGAAATCACAAACTTAAATTACGAGAACACTAAATTAAGAACATTGACGGAGCAACAATCAGTGACCATAAATCTACTTAAGAAAATATCTCTGGGTAGCCCGACTCGTTCTCCATCTAGCATCAACTATAAAACACCCTGCACTACGAAAAACAGAAGGCTACAAATGATTGTGACTACTCCTCGGACTTCTGTCTTATCATGCGACAAAGTTATATACAATGCGGGAGAGTTATGTAGCTTATCTCTAAACTCCACTATAAATGACATGCATAGCGTAAGCGCGGGAAACAGCACTGATTATCGAATGCCCAACTTAAGTACATCAGAGATAAGAAATCGACAAACAACTACCACACAGGAAGCGCCTACACATTTTTCCACCGCAATTCCAACGAATAGTGATACCATGCTCGGTCGAGGGAAGGCTAAAATAGTGAACAAATATCCACCAAAACGCCGAAGACTCATGATCTTCGCCGACCAATCGGGTTTTGGTATGAGAAAAATGCTACAATACTACCTGGGACCTGAATTTGCTGTCACTTCGGTAATAAAACCGGATGCTCCGATCGACGAGGTACTAACTTCTTGTACATCCATGTGTAAGGACTTTTCCAAAGATGATTTTGTTCTATTACTGGTGGGAGTAAACGACAAGAGCCCCGTACACGTACAATCTTTTCTGTATCACACAATATGGCAACTAAAAACCACTAATGTTCTGTTAGGTAAAGTGTATGTAAACAACTATCTTAATGTCAACTTGCTAAATAACTTGTTAAGACTCACGTGTGTTCTCTTTGATAATGCCAGCTTTGTCATTCTAGACAACAATTTTGATAGCACACCTAAACATGTAAATAGATTATATGCTGCAAGACTTATACATAGGCAAATACTGCAAACTTGCTACATAAATAGTTATATTAATTATTGCAATGTATCATATAAGAAAAATATACGGCATTGACGTAAATTTTGACACTTGTCAGTGTCATCATTATCCCCATACATTTTGATTTCTACTCTCTCTGTAGACAAGCGCTAAAGTGGCGTTTGGGTAAAGGCCCAGTACTGTGTAGGATGTTATGATATGATGATGACAGTAGACACAATCAAACGAGCTCCAACTTACCTATAATGGTACAACAGAGGTCCTAAATTAATCCAATACCCGCCCGGCTGCAGTATTGTGTATATTCTCTCAATGAACTCGATCACGTTCGGCGCGCAATCTATGAAGAAGCACGTCGCTACACACGACCATTCGTCTGCTTCTGTGTATACCTGAAAAATAATATTCATTTTCATCAATTGATTGCCTCGTTGGCCGTGTGACTGCCGGGCAAGGGGTCTTGTGTTCGATACTCGGGTCGAGCAAAGTACTACTAGGTGTTTTTAAAAATTCTAAGTGGCACGGAGTCTGGAATTGCGCCCAGGATATGGCAATATGCTCACCTCCAATTACATGGGACTCATAACATAAATAGTGAAAAGTGGATGTTACATTGTATAGTGGCGTTAAGTGCCGTAATGTGCACCTCTGCCCACCCCTTCGGGGATAAAAGGCGTGATGTTATGTTAAAGTAATAATTACTTTCGGCGAGTGTCGTAATAGCTGATTAAGACACTGCACATTTGATGTGACCGGGCAGCACTTTCCGATAGACCTGGGCGCTTATTCTTGAAACCAATCTCAATGTCAATGCAATTCCAATCCAATAAAATCTCAATAATTATTTAATGTCAAAACTATACAACCCTTTTTTTAAGGGGGGAAAATCGTCAAATGACTGCTCCCGCCTGAGTGAGGCGGGAGGGAGTGTCAGACTCTTACTGACTAAAAACCACTCCGTTCCTTCTCCTGCACGTCGAGCCGGAGCCCCGGTTACCCGTTAGGTTCTCCGCGACTAAAACTATACAATCCTATGCTGCATCGTGCCTGGTGCTAAATAAATGTTTTTTCTTTCTTTCTTTCTTTCTTTCTATGTAGCTATTAAAATAGCATTCAGAATACGGAATATAAAGCCAACCACAATAACATTTAGTTCATTCAATATCCACACAATACGGATGCAATAGGCGCTAGTGTGGAAAGTCAAGAATACGAAATTTCACAATATGAGAGCGAGGTCATCGAAGGCCCAATTACCCAAAATCCCTAAATTTCCTTACAATCCTCAAATTCCTAATCCCCAAAAGGCCGGTAACGCAATTGTTACGCCACTAATGATTCAGGTTTCCATGGGCGGCGCCGATTGCTTACCATCAGGCGATCCGTCGGCTCGTTTACCAGCTTATAGTAGTTCCACAGATTCGCATATTCGAACAAATTTCAGCTGTACTTGTTTGTTATAAAACAGGGCTGTCAAAACAAAGGCCCGGAGGCCGCATGCGGCCTGCGTCTTGTTTTCTTGTCGGTGGCCCGCGACACACATTTTAATCTCAACATCTTCATCTTATGTGCAACAACAATAATAAAATTCAGTGTATGACATTCACAGTCGTGGTGGCCCGGAGGTTTAAGACGCCCACTTCTCATGCATGAGGGTGCGGGTTCGAAACCTACCAACGGCAAGTACCAATGTGACTTTTTCCGAGTTATATGTACTTTCTAAGATTATTTAGACACCACTGACAAACGGTGAAGGAAAAACATCGTGAGGAAACCTGGACTTATAATTTCTAATTATAAGTTTGAAATCGCCAACGCGCATTGAGCAAGCGTGGTGATTAACGCTCTAACCTTCTCCGTGTGAGAAGAGGCTTTGCTCAGCAGTGGGCACTTATAGGCTGTTGATGATACAACTGAAAATTCTGGCCCCCCAGCTTTTGTAAGAAATTTAATTAGCCCGCTAGGGTATATAGTTTGGACAGCCCTGTTGTAAAACATCTCGCTACGATCAATAGGAGGCGAGCAGCGGTTGAAACCGGGAGGAAGTAGATAATCCTTACTAGTCCTTACTAATATTATAAATCGGAAAGTGAGTTTGTTTGTTTGTTCCGCTTGCACGCCGTAACTACTAAATCGATTGCTTTGAGTTTTTGCAGACGTAACGTTAGAAGTCCGGATTAAATAATAGGGTACCTTTTATCCCGGAAAAAATTGATATTCCCGAGGCAAAACAAAAGTATTGGTATAGATGGCGCTGTGTGTATTGGTATATGTCACATAGACTACTTTTTATCGTTTTGTGACGCGAGCGAAGCCGCGGGTAAAAACTAGTATTACATATAAGAAAGTATAGATTGTAATACCGGTCTAAGACAATATAATAATAATAGCCTTTATTTCCGATATTCTAGTTATTACAGTTATTATAGTTACGAATATCATTACACGGTCTTACATATTTGATTGAATGTTTGCTTTATTAAATGATATCCCTAAGCTCGGTGTGCCTCTTGGCATAGGCCTCCTCCAACTCCTTCCATTGCACCCTGTCTTGTGGGACTCTACTCCAGTATGGCCCCAAAGTCAGGCAGATGTCATCTTTCCATCGGGTTTTTGGACGTCCCCGTCTCCTTTTACTGTCCCTTGGATACCACAGAGTGACTTGTTTGCTCCATTTGTCTTGATTGCACCTCAGCATATGACCCGTCCAGCTCCATTTGAGATGGTCTATTCGTGTCAGTATGTCTACCAGCTTAGTTCTCGATCTTATTTCTGAATTTCTTATTTTGTCATTTAGCCTGATCTGGAGCGTACTTCTTTCCATTGCCCTTTGACAGGATGCCAGTCTTTCTCTATGGTTATCTGTTAAAGCCCAAGTTTCGCACCCATATGTCAAGCAGGGGAGGATACATGTGTTGAAAGTCTTTCGTTTTATATGCATGCTTATGTCTTTGTTTTTCATTATTTCTTTCAACGACCAGTATTTATTCCAACCACTAGCAATTCTTTTGTTTACTTCCTTTGACATTGAGTTTTCCGGTGTAATTATTTGTCCCAGGTAAACATATTCCTTAACATACTCAAGGCTGTTTCCATCAACTTTTATGGTGACTTCTGTGGAGGTAGTCATTAACTTGGTTTTAGTTGCATTCATTTCTAGCCCTGCTTTTCTGCTTTCGTTTGCTAAGATGTTTATCATTCGTTCCAGTTTTTGTGGATCTTCTTCTAGCAAGATGATATCGTCTGCGAATCTTAAATGGTTCAGTCTACGACCGTTAATGTTTAACCCCATATCATTCCAATTCAATTTCCGGAAGATGTGTTCCAGCACTGCATTAAACAGTTTGGGTTACAGTGGGTCCCCTTGTCTCACTCCTCTTTCTATAGGGAATGACTCACCTGTTGATTCTAGTTTTATGCGACCTTTGCTGTTGCTGTAGATGGATTTTATTACTTGTATGTAGGTATTTTCGACTCCTTGTTCTCTTAAACTTAACCAGATGTATTTATGTTTTATACTATCGAAAGCCTTTGAATAATCAATGAAAGATATGTATACAGCTTTTTGGTACTCATGGTATTTTTCTACAATTTGTTTAATAGTGTGGATGTGATCAATAGTGCTGTAGTTTCTTCTGAAACCTGCTTGTTCGATCGGTTGGTTATCGTCTAGAGTTTGCGTTATTCTCTGCAAGATTATCTTTGCGAAGATTTTATATAAGTTTGATATAAGGCTTATAGGTCTGTAATTACCGATGTTATCCTTGTCTCCTTTTTTTTACAGCAATACGATGTGGGATTCATCCCATTGCTTTGGGATTGTGCATGTGTTTAGAATGTCGTTGAAGAGCTTGGTAAGTATTGGGCCTAGTTCCTCCATTGTGCCTCTCATTAATTCGTTTGGTATACGGTCAGGTCCTGGAGATTTTTCTAGTTTTTGAGACAAGATAGCTTTCTCCACTTCCTGTTTGAGTATTCGTGGGACCATATCAAGTTCTGTGTGTTCTGTTTTAGTGTTTATACTGTTATTGTCCTCGTCGACCTTTTTATTTGAGTAGAGACTTCTATAGTACTCTGTTGCAATTTCTTGAATCTCTTTGCGGTTCGTAGTTTGTCTGTATTTCCCATTTTTTAGTTTTGGTATCCATTCTTTTCCATGCTCTCTCAATTCCTTTAGTGCTTTTTTTGTTCCACCTGTTTTTTCTATTTCCTTTTCCAGCACTTTTCTTCTTCTTGTTTTTCTGTCTTTTCTTATATTTTCCCTAATTTCTTTGCTTATCATAGACAATTTCCTACGATATTCCTTACTCGGTAACATTTTATTTTTAATTAAGTTTTTTCTTTCTTGTAATAGTTTCGACGTTTTGCACTGAATTTTGCTTTTGACACCACCTTTCCTTTTGTTGCTTGTGATAGGTGTTTTTCTAGATTATCATATTTCTCGAGAACACTGGTGTCTGAGTTAATTATTTCTAGCAGAGGTTTTATGGACGAGGTATCGATATTTCTCCCATATTCTTCTGGCAGCAGCAGCTTGCTTGACAAGTTAGGTCTAGATTTTTTGTTAGGATGTTTCCTCAAACAGCTACGTACCATTCGATGGTTTGTATTGAAGTTTAATTTTTGTATCACGTTTGTATCATTGAAGAGCTATTGGCTTGTTTGTTATTATGTAATCAATCTTGTTTTTGTACTCTCCATCAGGTGATACCCAGGTCCATTTGGTTTTAGGATTCTTTTTGTAGAGTGAGTTGAGTATTGTTAAGTTATTTTGGAATAAAAAGTTGACTAGTCGAAATCCATTTGGGCTCCTCTTACCATATCCATATTTGCCTATTATCTTTTCTTCACTAGGCCTTTTAACGCCAACTCTAGCGTTAAAGTCGCCCATGACCATGAGGTTATTATTTTGATAGTCTTTTATTACATCCGATAAGTTGGTGTAGAAGTCCTCAATATCATTTGTGGATGCCAACTCAGTTGGTGAGTATACTTGTATGATCGTCCATGTCTTTTTATATCCAGGTAAATTCATGTTGAGAACTGCTAGTCCTGAACCGAAGAGGACGAGGAGCAAGATTGACGAAATGCTACATGTGCTTATTTATTTGCATGCGCTACAAGTGTATACATTTAGAGGCTGTAGGCGGTCTATCCAAGGACGATTTTTTGATGACATTGAAGCGTTTCATCGCTCGACGCGGTAAGCCAGTGGAAATATTCTCCGACAACGGTCGTAATTTTGTCGCGGCGGCCAAGGAGCTAGGATCATTTCTAAAGACATATAACCACTTACTTTCCGACTTTGCTGCACTAGAAGGAATACAATTTAATTTCATCCCTGCTTACTCCCCTCATTTCGGCGGCATTTGGGAATCAGGTATTAAATCCGCAAAACACCATGTCAAACGTGTTATAGGCAATTTACACCTCACCTTTGAGGAATTGCAGACTTTGTTCGCACAAGTGGAGGCAATATTAAACAGCCGGCCCTTATGTCCAATGTCCTCAAATCCCAACGACTTTCTTCCCCTTTCTCCGGGACACTTTCTCATCGGAAGACCGTTAACCACGTTCCCATCTCCACTAGTAGAAGAGACGGATCCCAACAAGCTAAAGCGATATAAAAGATTAGAGCAACTCCGACAGCATTTTTGGCAACGTTGGCAAAACGAGTACATCAATGAACTACAAAGAAGACAAAAATGGATGAGGGAATCTCCTCAGCTTAAGGTCGATGATTTAGTTCTGATTAAAGAGGAAAACCTGCCGCCCCTGTGTTGGAGACTTGGAAGGGTGACAAAATTGTATCCGGGACCTGATGGCGTGGTACGAGTGGCGGACGTCAGAACTCCTACAAGCTGCCTTCGACGAGCTTTGGTTCGCTTGTGCCCCCTTCCCATTCCAGAAGACGATCCTAAGTTGAAAGAGAATCCTTTCAACGGGGGGAGCATGGCGCAGCTGCATGCGCCTACGCACAATGAATAGCAATATCAAGTATTTCTACAAGTGGCGGCTCATTAAATTCAACAGAAACATAATGACGTTTCCAAATAGTTTTTGTGAATCTACCCGATAGTAAATATAT